CCATTCTCTCAGAATGATGATCCATCTGGGAGGGAGAGCTTGACACACTGCTACTGGGGTGAGAGGAGGTCTGGCTCCCAGGGCGATGACTTTCTTCCAGAGAGGGGGCTGGAGAAGGACTCTCTGGGATCCGTTCCTGATACAAAGTAAACACAAAAGGAAATGCCATCTGCATGTGCAAGATTTTTCATGATGGTTGGGATATGGCATTCAATTTCTCACTTAATATGAAAGTGTCTAATTCCACACTGGATCATAGGAAATATGTGTCATTAAATAAAATCAGATTTTCAGATCTTGTGAAATTAACTGAACGTTGTAACAGGTGAATAACAACAAAAACAATAATAATAATAATCTACAGAGTAAGCCAGGCACTAGTGGCTCATGACCTGTAATACTAGCTCCTCAAGAGGCTGAGATCAATGGAAGCCCAAGCAGGAATGTCCATAAGATACCTATATCCAATGAACCACCAGAAAACCAGAAGTGGCACTGTGGCTCAAAGTGGTAGAATTCTTGTCTTAAGAACAGGGACAGTGCCCAGGAGTTGAGTTCAAGGGCCATGACCCCCCGTACCCCCCCAAAAAAAACCCAAAACAAAAAATATCCAAAAACTAAAGACACATTGAGGAGGCAAAACTCATAAGTCATTATCAGAATGAGTGTAGAATGAAGATTATTGCTATTATTGTAAGCTTTAGACTGATGTAAAAATGGATATCAAGGCGTGAGGAGTAATATTTTATCAGATTAAAGAGGTATATCAAATGTGAAAACTTGATAAAAATGGAAAAACTTACAAATGTTGCTACGTAATACTTATTTAGTTTTACTGCACAGGCAAAAATTGTGGAAAGGATATAATTTCAATTTATCTGAAATTAGGAACGCATGTTGAATTCAACCAAGAAAATGTTTTGATATTCACATGACACAAAGACTCCTTAATATTGATTTGAACTTCATATTTCTAGATAATGAACATTGAATATTTTATATACTATGATCATCCATTGCTCTTAATACATTTATGGAGCTATTCAATATGTTTCTGCTACATAAATTGATGAATAAATCTTGATCATTGTGTTAATTTTAACAATAAAATAATTAAATTGCAGTGTTTATGCACATATGCAATAAATTTGAGTAAGTTATAGACATGTTGAAACAGAATTGTTTGTTCTATAAAACATTTAATTCGACCATAATAAATTCCTTAAATTAAATCTTCTAATTATAATTGCATCATCAGAGTTATTCCAATAATCATAACATTAATAATTAGTTTAGCAAATGGGTGTTTGTATATTTTTGTATTGATTTTTCATGAGAAGCTCCAAATACATAAATTCCCTAAATAGAAGTTGGATATATGTAGTGCAAACATAATAACCTGAGGGTTAAAAGTCATTATTTCATTATAGTAGTTATTATTTTTCAGTGTATCTCATTTCAACAGGCAGAAATCATGCCCCCACACAAGCTGTCCAGTTTATATCTTAATTGCCAAAAACTGTGAGTATGTCATATGACATAGCCAAAGGGACTTTGCAGATTTGAGAACCATAAAATAGAGGGATTATATTGGATTTGTATTGGATTCCAATCTCAATACAAATGTTCTTAAAATCAGAAGATACATTGGCGATGCAGCATTGTGAATGTTGAAGATGGAAAAGGGCAACATAAACCAGGAAATGTGTGAAGCTTGTAGAAGGTGGAGAACACAGGTAATACATTTTTTTCTTGGAATCTAATGAAAGGAATACAGTTCTGCCTGAACCTTGCTTTTAGTTTCATCAGACTCAAATATCACTGTAACCCACATAATTATAACATGTACACATATTATTTTAATTGTGGTCATTTGTTACAGCCACATTAGAATACTCATCAATGCACTATGTCTCTAATCATGTTTTTCATTACTGTTTAATATTTCATTAGCATTCAATAACTTTAGTAATACAAGAGCCTTTGTGTATATTACTAGTAATGTTGTATATCAGTTAAGTACAATGGTAAATGCATAGTATATTTTAAAGTCTTTATAACTGTTGTTATGTCTTGAAACAATATTTTAATACAGACTTATATGCTAATATATTAATTTATATTTCCTATGTAAGAAAATGTCAAGTTATAAAAAAATGGATGTTAGATCGTGAAAATGGCAATGCTGCCAAAGGCTATCTACAAATTCAATGCGATAGCTATCAATATCTCAACCTCATTCTTCAAGGAAATAGAAGAAGCAACCCAAAAACTCATATGGAACAATAAAAGATCCGAAATAGCAAAAACAATCCTTAGCAGAAAGAACAGTGCTGGAGGAATATCAATATCAAACTTCAAAGTCTACTACAAAGTCACAGTATTCAAAACAGCTTGGTACTGGTACAAAAACAGAACTGAAGACCAATGGAGTAGAACTGAATACCCAGAAATGAACACGCAGACCCATAGCCATCTAATGTTCGATAAGGGAACTAAAAAAATAGAATGGGAGAAAGACAGCCTCTTCAGTAAATGGTGCGGGCAAAACTGGTTAACGACTTGTAGAAAACTAAAGGTAGATCCTTACATATCACCCTGCACCAGAATCAACTCCAACCAGGATCAAAGACCACGAAGTCAAAGCAGACACCCTGAAAACATTACAGGAAGGAATAGGAGAAACTCTAGGTTTCCTAGACATAGGGTGAAATTTCCTTAATTAAGATCCATAAACACAACAAATCAAAATGTTGGACAAATGGGATTGCATGCAACTGCTTCTGCATGGCAAAGGACATAGCTAGCAAGATCAATAGAAAGCCCACGGATTGGGAGAAGATCTTCACTAGCCATAAAATGGACAAGGGTCACATGTCCAAAATATACTTAGAACTCAGAAAACTAAACCCCCCAAAACAAATCCTCAAAGAAACAACTGCCTGATTAATAAATGGGTGAAAGACATAAAGAGAGACTTCTCTGAAGAGGAAATAAGAATGGCCAATAGACACAGGAAGAAATGTTCAACTTCTCTAGCCATAAAAGAAATGCTAATCACAACATTGAGATTCCACTTCATCCCAGTTAGAATGGCTATCATCAAGAACTCTAATAACAACAGATGCTGGAGGGGACATGGCTGAAAGGGAAGCCTACTGCATTGTTGGTAGGAATGTAAACTTGTTCAACCACTTTGGAAAGCAATATGGAAGTTCCTCTAAAGACTCCACATAGAGTTCCCCTATGACCCAGCAATCCCACTTTTGGGCATTTCCTCAAACAATCACAAACAAGACCATACTAAAGCTACCAGCACAACTATGATTATGGTAGCATTATTTCCCATAGCTAAGGTATGGAACCAACCCAGATGCCCCTCAGTAGATGACTGGATCAAGAAAATGTGATACATGTATATATATATATATATATATATATATATATATATATATGTGTGTGTGTGTGTGTGTGTGTGTGTGTGTGTGTGTATGTACACACACACACTCACTCACACACACACATATAATGGAATTCTACGCCTCCATCACAAAGAATGGCGTGGCCCCATTTGTTAGGAAATGGAAAAACGTGGAAAAAATTATATTAAATAAAGTAAGCCAGGCCCAAAGAAACATAGGTCTCATTGTTTCCCTTATTTGCAAAAACTAGTATATGTCTAGGACAAGCTGAAAAGATCAAAAGCTATGTACATATGACCATATAAGATGATATTAAGTGAAATGATCCCCAAGATAGGGAAAAAAGAGGTTTTATCTTTCTTACTGTTGATTTTAATGTATATATAATGTACTATGTGATTTCTTTTCGTTTCTTTTGTATGCTCTTCCTCATGGTATAACCCCTGTTTTCACTGTTTGATTCTATTGCCCTGTCTTGTATGTACATTTTTCTAATTTGGGGAGGGGAAGGGAAATAAGACAATGCTGAAATAAGGATACAGGTTGCCCATTGTAACAATGAGATGTATAAGACACTATGTTGAAAACTAACTTTACAACTTTGGGGCAGGAAGGGAGAAGTTGTGGAGGTGGCGAGGGAAGGAATGCTAGCAGAAAAACAAAGGAGGAGATAACAATGCTCAATAGGAAATGTACTATTTACCTTACTCATGTAACTGTAACCCCTCTGTAAGTAATCTTTACAATAAAAATATATACAAAAAAGATTATTTGGAACAACCTGAAAAACATGGATGTTAAGCAGATTTGAAAGAAATGCATAAGCAGATCAAAAGAAATGAATTACTTTTCCCCAAGAGTTTTAGTTCTTTTGGCAGGATGGTGTTGGGATACACAGGAAGATGTATTTATTCTTCCTACCATAGATAATTTCATTTTGGAGAGACCCAAAGGTCATCACTTTATAAAATCTAAACTAAACTTTCATAGTTAGAAATATATTCTCTATATTGTATATGTATATTTAAACACATATACATACATAGAACAATTAAAATACTTTCATCCATTTAGCCATTTTTGTCCATTCACCATTTTGCAATCTTATTGATTTCCTGTTTATAAGGTAGAAAATATCCAGTATTTTCATTGAAACTCTGCCTCAAAAAAAACAAGTAAAATTAAATGAACTTCATTTCTCTAACTCTTTTGGGCTACTAAAAGAAAGGATAGGTACAAAACCCAGAAGTTATTGTATGAAAATAGAAATAAAGAACAAAATCAATGTATAGTGATAAACAGGAATCACATACAGCATCACATGCTTTACAATAGCAATGGAAACTCAGTTGGGTTTGTTGGCCCAAGTCACAGAGCAACTGCTTAGCAAGCACAATGTCTAGAGTTCAAATCCCAGTACTGCTAAGTAAGAAGAGTAAAAGGGCATTGAGAATTGATGTAGTTGATGATCTGCCAAAGCAAGAGAATATAGATGACCATGACACTTGGTTTTGTACACTGTGTTTAACAAAAAATGATAGTACCCTTTTTTATAAAAGGTTATATAAAAATTTACACAAATTGAAATTTTTATTACTAAGACAATGTTCAATGCTATAAGTGATTTTCCCAGTATGTTCAAAATTAGCAAATGATCAGATATTATGTACTTGAATAATTTAGCCTCAAATTCCTTCTTTGCAATTTTCAACGG